CTACAGTGTTGGGATGCAGAAACACAGCGATACCATCGCGGGGGTTATCGACTTGGACAGCGCTCGGCCTTCAGGGCTCCTAAACAGACTTCTCATAACCACCCTTCCATGAGGCTAGGCCCACGGACGTGAGGCGGGGCAGGGGCAGGCCGTCCCCAGACTCCCGGACTCTGTCAGGACACCCACGCGGACAGCATGGCTAACTTTCTAGGGGCTGTGAACACCCGGGCGAAGGGGAATAAAACAACAGGTCTACTCCCTGGAAATTAAACGCATGGGCAGGCCAGAGAGCCTGTGTACACAGCCTCTGCGGGGTCGGAGTCCTCAGGGTCCACGCCGGGCTCCCAGGCCGGGGCCGTTCGCCCCTCTCCTCCCACCCTCCACCCCGGCTCAGCCCCGGGCGGGAACCACGCACCGACACGAGCGGGACGCGCAGGCGATCCCCCTGCAGCCGGTTGAAGGCAGGGAACGTGCTCCAGGCGAGGACCCCGCCGCGCTCGGGTCCCAGCAGGGCCACGAGCAGCACCTGGTGCTGGAAGCGCACGGTCGGCTGCTCCTCGTAGCTGCTCCGCTTCAGCCAAAAGCCTGAGTCAAGGAGGGCGGTGGGGACGCGGTCAGGACGGCCGGCCCGGGCCGAGCGGGCCGCGGGGAGTTGTGGGGCGCACCGTCCGCGGCAGGCTCACCGTGGCTCCGGAAGGCCACCAGCAGCGGCGGGATGTAGGTGAGCGCGGCGGCCAGCAGCAGGAAGAGCGCGGCTTTGGAGCAGAGCCCCGCGCGGTAGCGGCGCTCGACCGGGTGAGAGAAGAGCTCGTGGAGCGCCATGAGCGTTGCGCGCAGCCACCCCTCCCGCCCGGGGCCCCGCGGCGATTCGAGACGGAAGAGCAAGTTTGGCTTCTGTTGGTTGCCATCGCCGTGGTCTCCACGGCAACCGGCGGCGCAAAGGAACCAATCGGAAGGACGGGGGCTTTTGCGGGGCGGGGCTGACGCGGCGGCGCGCGCCTCTTGACAGCCGCCCTTCCTCAATGCGTGCGTTTCCTTAAAGGCTGAGTGGTCGTGTAATAGGATGTTTCCGTGGACTTGAGTCGTAGCCATCGTCTGTGTTAACATTTGTGTAAAATAAGATTTCATAAAAGTCGACTTATAAGTAAAGACCTGCTTCTGTGTCATCTATCAGCCCCCAATTTGGTTCATACTGAAGTCCAACCAGTGCTTTGGTCCTGGGCTAAGACCAAAGCCAGGTTCCTTTGCCTCCAAGTTTTCTGTTGCTTTCACGATGCTCCATGGCAGGACAGCCGTGGAAACAGAAAAACAGAAAAATCCCCAGGCTCTTGGAGGGATAGAGGGAAATCACTACATAGCTCTCTCTGACGTGCTTTGTTACAGTGTATTGGGTACAAGCTAGGCTAGGGGTTTTAGGGGAAGCCGTGGTCGTCCCCAAAGATAACATTGGCTTATCACTTAATTGAAGGCTTTGGCCCGCGCGCTGGCCCACCCCTGTCATTCAAACACTTTGGGAGACCGAGGCGGGAATAAACGCTTTAGCCTAAGTGTTTGAGACCAGCCTGGGCAACATAATGAGACCCTATCTCTACAAAAGATAAAAGAAATTATCAGAACGAAAAAGGAGAGAGAGAGAGAGAGAGAGAGAGAAAGAGAGAGAGAGAGAGAGAGACCAAATACACACCCACACATATATATAGATAGATAGACTGAAAAATTGGCCAGGTGTGGTGGTATGTGCCTGTAGTCCCAGCTACTCAGGAGGCTGAGGCAGGAGGATTGCATGAGCCTAGGAGTTAAAGGTTGTAGTGAGCTGTGACGCCACTGCACTCCAGCCCAGGTGCCAGAGCAAGACCCTCTCTCACAAAAAAGTCAAATGCTTTTTCTCCCCCCTGAATCAATATTTTGAACACGGCAGAAGGATTTTCTCTTTCTAAAATACTGTCTACAGCCAAGTTCCTCATCAAAAGGCCCTGAAGGATCACATTGCAGTGTTAGTGTGTGAGGTTTGTGCTCAAAGTGGAGTCCGGTCGTTGCTGCCCCTACTTTGGATGCGACCTAGAAGGGGCTTTTAGATGAAGAGAACAGCTGAGATCCTAACAACACGGACACCAGAGCACAGAGAGAAAGGTCAAGACCTGCCCATGTGAGAAAAGGATCACAGGGTCCTTATCGCCACAGTTCAAGACGACAATGTCATCAGCTATAAAATCCTTTTGACATATCATCAGGTTCAGTCCTACTCATTCTTGCTTTAAAGCTTTTCTGGGATGGCAACGCAACATAGCTCTTAAATAAGGCAATTGTTAGGCTTAAATCTATGGTATGATTCTGACATTACATTGTATCTATGCTTTAAGTGGATGACTTTCATTTATTTAAATAACCACTAAAATGAGGGTATTCTAGAATTAATGAATCTAATACTGACTCCTGCGAGTGACTCTCCCTTGAAGAAGGTGTTTGCCTCCAAAACTCCTTTTTTTCAACAGAAACAAACAGATACTGTAGCCAAGTCACTGCTGAAACAAGGAGGTGACTGCTAAGAATTTAGGTGCATGAAGTGCTTCAGACTTCCCTAAGAGGCCATGAGCTTTGCAAAAATATTAGCAATAATGGATAGTAATATTTACTCTTTGCTTCCACGATTTGTAGAAGCTAGTCCTTGTGGTTTTATTTCAATTCTTTAGAGAGAATACTGGACCTTTTAAAAATGTTAAGGATCTGTGTATATCATGTTATTTTCATACATCCATGACTGAGAACTGACTTCTCAGTTTCTATTTCCATGATGTTCTTGTGTTTCATACAGTTTACCTGCAAGGACAAAAAGAGTCATTCTCTTAAAACTTCACATTTTAATAGTGTTCCTCTCCTTTAGAAGAGCTCCAATTCCGGTTCTCTGGAATCAGCTTAGAACTCCTGAACGTCTTCAAGGCTTTCCAACATGTCTTTTACCTTGGCATTTATCTATATTGCTTCCCAGTTCCCTCTTAAAACCCTAGCCTTCGTTTTGATCTGGAAAGGAAAGTTTACCTTTTGAAAAATGTACCCTTCTCTCTTCATTAGACGATTCACATTCTCTGTGAAGTCTTTCTTGTTAATTCTCAGTTGACTTTGTGCTGGTCCCTATTGCCCTAGCCATCCCTCAGTATCCATGTTCACACAGCTCTCCAAAGTTTGAAACTCATTCTCTGGGCTTTATGGATTTGTTAATGTGTAACTACATATATTCATTATCTTATTTCTCCTTCTGACTCACCTCCTTAACTATCTACTCCCTCAAGGAAGGCATCCAGTGTTCTCAGAACACTCAGTTGCTAAAGACAATGACCCAATAGGTGAAGAAGGTGATGCATATGATCGGGGCAAATGAGATAAGCCAATTAGAATGGTGAAACGGAAAAAGACACCAAAAAAGTAGGTAAGGATAGAAGACAGAAAGACAGCGCACATCATTGAGACCATCAGGAGACGTGCCTGTGAGTGTGTGAGCAGTGCATCTTCCCCCTTAGAAGTGTACTAAGCTCTTCCACATGCCAGGTGATATAAACGTGCCTTGGGCTAGGACACAATGATCAGCTCTGTAAGTGGAAGCAGGGGAGTTGAGTCCAATTTCTAACTTCTTCACTGATTCACTGACTATGAGATGCTGAACTACCATCTTCATTCTTCAGTGTTTAATTCTCTTTGTGAAATAGATATTTTCACTCACTGTCTAGCTAATCTCAGCCAGCGCAATAGCTTTAAAGACTTCTCTGACTTTGAGACTCATAAAGCCATTCATCTGCTCTACATCTTCATTTGGATGTGTCTCTTGGGCATCTCATACTTAATACTCCAAAACCAAACTCTTGATTTTCACTTCCCAAGACAGCACCACCTCGTTTCGGTAAATGACAGTAGCATCCTTATAAAAACTTTTACTTTGACCTGTCCCTCACATCTCACATCCAATGTATTAATTTTTACTAGCTCTACCTTCAAAATATATCCAGAATACAGCTGCTTCCCATCACCTCCATACACATCACCTTGGCCTAAACCAACATCATCTTTCACCAGGATTATCACAATAACCTATTTCTGGGCTTCCACCCTCCCCCTAGTCTACTAAGCTAGTATGATCACTTAAAAAGGAAAGTCAGATTGTGTTCCACCTCAGCTTAGAACCCCAGACTGACTTTTCATCTCATTCTAAATAAAATCCAAAGTTCTTCACATAGAATTCGAAGCTCAATACTGTTTTTGTTCGAGATCTTTTTGAACTTATAACACACTGAAACACCTTGTTTGTTTAGTTTTCGCCATAGGGAGTTCCTTCATGTTCCTAGAATATGCCAACCTCTTTAATTAGCATTTCATCCCACAATCACTCTCTAGTCACCTACCCTGCCTTATTTTTATAAACATCACCTATTAGTATCTGACATATTTATTTTTTGTCTTGTCTCAGCAGAATGCAAACACCATGAAAGCAGGAGTGTTTTCTGTCTTGTTCACTGTTTTTCCCCAGCACCTAAAATGGTGCTCTTGTATGCAACAACACTAATTTGTAAGCATGAAATTCAAAAAATTTTTCACTTTATCAAAAACAAAAACCTATTCTGGTTGCTCAGACACACAATCGTAAAATAACAAAAATACTTTTAGCATGAAGCTAGGTTGCACAGCATCGATCAGGAATTTCAACTGTAGGAAATGATGAATGACAATGTCCAAACATACAGGCCTTATAGGTGCATCAGAATCACAAGCACGTGGGAGGGTTCATGTGCCCAATTAGTGAATATTCTCATTACGTGTTCATCAGCTCATAAACAGATGGTGACTCAGAGCAGACTGCTTTGATCACTCTGCTTGGAAGAAAGGAATTAACATCACTGATTGGAGAACTTCAAGGCATCTGCTGAGGCAGGTGACACACACAGCCTAGGCTGTGATTGCTAAGCCTCTCCCACTGGCAAACAAGGAAACTCATCTCATGACCAGCTCTCAGGGGAATTCTCTGAACCTGACAGTCACCTCTAACTCCTCTGCCAGTTAAGGTTAAGGGTTCTCTTTATGATTAGTGATGTTACAGTCCTCATATGCGTATTTGTATTTCTTAAATGTTTATTCAGATATTTATTCATGAACAAAGGAAGGAAATGGGATTTGTTTAAATTCAATTTCTAGGTCCAAGGCCGCCTATTACGGCTGTCCCTAATACTGGACCTCCTGTTGTCATCAGTTCCCCTCCCCACACAGTCCCCTCAAACTATCACCGCACCCCTAATATTGAGCCCCTAATCTGTCACCACTCCAAACAGTAGTCCCCAAACTGTCAGCGCCCTAAACAGCCCCCTTGCCATCGCCAACCACTAGAGACCTCTCTTCTATCATACACATCCCCGAATACCACTCTTGTCACCAATGCCCCAATCCGACTTCCCCTCGGAACAGCTCTCCACAAGATCACTAAACTACCAGCCACACCCCCAAACAGCCCTCTGTAAGAGCCCTATACTACTAGGCCGTCACCAACACCGCCGAGGCCCCACTCTTGTCACCAGTTCTCTGAGTATTCCTTCCCAGAGTCGCCAATATCTCTTACAGACGTGCCTTAATCAGCATCTTCATCTCCCCAACCCGCATAGCTCCTCAAGGAAGGAGTCCTCTTCAGCTCCGCCCCTTTACGTGCGCCTCCGCCCCTCGGTGCGCCGTCTCGGCGAATATCGCCGGAAGCCCCGCCCCCGGCCGGTTGCTAGGCTCCCGTAGCCGGAAGTCCCGCCTGTCGTGTAGTCGCCGCTGCTTCCTCCGCCGTCGTTGTTGTTGTGGTCGGTGTGCTGAGCTCCGCGGCTCCGAGAGCCGGTCCGTCCCCTTCCCGCCGCCGCCATGAAGTGGATGTTCAAGGAGGACCACTCACTGGGTGAGC